TCATGTTTATTAATACGTGTCCCCAATTATTACGGCCACCTGGCGCGAATTTCCCAGTCTCCAACGACGCTCTCCCATCGCGCGCCAGCTTTTTGAGATCTTTGGCTCGAGAATTTATCCAACGCGTAGTTTTACAAGTGAGCACCCTTCTTTTTTCGCTCCATTTCTCTGTCTCGTTGTACAAGGAAAATTGTACACGAAATGGTTTTCCCCGCACGCTTTTGCACGCGAAAGTTTTCTTTCATCGCAGATAATTTTCATTTTGTTTCTTTCGCAGTTTAACTGAAGCACATGATCGAAGAATGCGCATGCGAGTTGCTCTAATAGTTGGAAATTGTTGCGCTATAAGTAAAGATTTCGTAGTTGAAAGCTACAACTACGCATATAATTCACTGGCCGTAGTCGAGCAATCGATGCATGCATGCATGCGTACATACATATACGACTTCAGCTGAGCGAGGTGGTATTTTTCCCCCCAGAGTGCACGAATGAGCCGATGGCAGGATTTTGGCAGCAGTGTTTCAGTGTAAAGGCCCGCTTAGCCCGCGTTTCAGTTTGTACTGACCCGTAGCCGTGTGATATGTTATATGTTTTAGCTGAACGTCACCAGCACGAGTGCTGTCGCCGACGTTCGGCTGCGAACGACTCTGTAAAACGTGTGTGAAGAGACATCTGTGAAGTTAGCCACAAGTTCCCTTCTCGCTTAACACTATGTTACGTCCTACGACGTGTAACAGTCGGAGAGCCTGGTCGGTTTACTGTGAAGTGTGCCCCGTACATTATACATAGGTTGTGTGTTTACAAAACATTTTACCTCGGCGCAGTTGAATTTGGTGCTTGATAAAACTTGTGCTGCTTATAAACGGTATATTGTCTGATATGAACTATACCACAGATACCTCACTTCTATATGCTTGCTTGATGATATAATCATTGTAGATTGTCTTATATGAACGTCCCGCGGGACTGTTCCTCCCACTGTAGATTGTTCTCAACACAAGACTCCTATTGGCTAAGGTTCCTATATATAAAGGTACCCTTTATATATAGGGACCCTACTATTGGCACCATCGTGCTGCCATCTATCGTCAGACCCCGTGGGCTCTGACAAGGGTAGGCAGCGTCCTTGTTGCGTAAAGCTGTACAGAAGTCGTTATAAAAATGCTTAGTTGTTTGTCCATAGATGTCGCTTGCAGGTGTGTGTGACCGGTGAACTTGTACAGAGAGGCTAACTTCGTACTTCTCGCTACTAACGCGTACTTCTCGGACACTCGTGGTCGTATGTGGATCTTGCACTGTATACGTACTCTGTTCGTCTCTTGCCTCATTGTATATTGTAATTCTCAGTATTTGCAGTGTAATTGTACTTTAAATCCTTTATGCAGGAAAATAAATAATAATAATAACCTCTGTAAGTAGTCGAAAGGATTCAACGGTTGTTTTTGGTTATTATATACAAATATCTTGTGTTTCCTTGTTCTTCCCGTTGGCAGGAGTACCGAACTTGGTGTTTTGTTGGTGCGTTTTATCATTCCAATGGCGTAGGAACGGTGCGTAGCGTTTAGAATCGTAGACTCTACGTAGATGTGGTGGGGGTTCGGCAGATGGCAGCTAATTGCACGTAACTCGGCCCATGCTTCTGCTCAAGCATTAGCCACCCTTCTCCTGAATGCATGATGATATGATCAAAGGGACAGTGATTACACGGTCTGTTCCTCCGGGTAAATGCGGAACCTAACTCTAGTAACTATAGCTCGCGTACGGTTGCGCTGGTGGTACGCGGGCTATAGTTACTAGAGCTAATGCGGAACCGTGTGTTTGTTTGACTTGCGCATGAATTTGTTGAACTGAATTGAATTCATTGCATCTGCGAGACTCGTGCCAAAATCAGTAAAAACATCTTCGAGCGATATCCTCGTATGGTTCAGTTCTCAATCAAAAGTAATGCATGGTATAACAGTGATTCGGTATTCTTCTCTGGTTAATCGGACACTGTTGTTTTTATTCAAATTTCTTATATCAAGTATATTTTAGGACATACAAATCGGAATTATTTGGTACCTATACAAGTGTCTCAATCCGGCCCTGTGTAGCATCAACGCGCTAAAACGGGACGCTGTAAATCCATCGTTAAATAAAAGCAGTCGAGTATTTGTACTCGAATCATGAGCAACCCTCCCAAGACAATAGTTATTAGTTTAGCTAAATGCAATAAGGCGCTATGGCTCTATTCATAGAAGCAGTACACCACGAATGCGAAAAGGTATTAGCTTAAAAACGGCCAGCCACCTGGTGGCCATCCCTCGTAATATTCCTGATAGTTTCTGCATACATTGATATCGGTGTGTGATACCAACCTCAGCGTGAGTACGCTCGCGTGCGTGGGTTAAGCCCGGCGCACACGGGAGTAATATTACTCACGTAAAATGATGCATGCGTCAAAATACTCACGCGAAATATTTTCAGCGTCCGCCGCACACGTGAGTAAAATATCTCAAGGTTTAAGTGGTAATGTAGATCACGTGACTGTGCGCAGCCAATACTGGGCGCAGTCATCTTTAAAATGATTTAAACGCATGCGCTGTGAGTACCAGTGTTGTAAATTTACGCAACTAGCGCGCACACGTTGAGTATTATTATCAAACATGTTTGATATTGAGTTTCTTGATGCATGCGTCAGAAAACTCAACAAAAATCCGGCGCACACGTGAGTATGTTGACGCATGCATCGTTTTACTTAAGTAAAATTACTCACGTGTGCGCCGGGCTTTACTCTCTGTGTATGCGTATGTGCGCGTGCGCGTGTCTGTCTCTGTGATTGCGTGCGCGCGTGCATATGCATGCGCACGCGTACGTGCCTGTCTTTGTGCGTGCTTGCGTGTGCGTGCGTGTCTCAATCAGTATTGCTATTTGCATATAGTACGTGCCATAGACATCGATGTTATGGTGAGACGGTTGTGCGCGCATGTATGTATGTGCCCGCGTGAGTCTTTCATTCTGTCGATGTTTGTGTGCGTGCGTGCGTGCGTGCGTGCGTGTGTGCGTGTGCAACGCGCGCGTGTGTGTGTGTAGGGGCAGATCCAGGATTTTTGAAAGCGGGGTGTCCAGGGAGAAATAAAGGGCACTTTTTCTTGCTTAATTTGTCTGATGTTTTAAAAAGCTGCCGAAGGCCAATTAAGGGGGTTTGGGGTCTCCCCCAATAAAAATTTTAAAAATTGGTGCATTCTGAGAGCATCTGAGCAGTAATTTTGATGGCTAGAATGAAAAAATCTATCAGATCCGGTCCCCCGGACGCCCCGCGGACCCCTCTTTGCCCATTTCTTGTTTTTTTATAACGAATTTCTATATATATAAGTAAATCTTTATCAGAAAAACGAGCCCTACAAAAATTGGGATGAAATATGTTAGAGCACTTTGAAATTAAAGGGGGGTCCTGACGCCCCCGGACCCCCCTAGATCCGCCCCTGGTATGTGTGTGTGTGTGTGTGTGTGTGTGTGTGTGTGTGTGTGTGTGTGTGTGTGTGTGTGTGTGTGTGTGTGTGTGTGTGTGTGTGTGTGTGTGTGTGTGTGTGTGTCGTCGCGCGCGTGTGTGTGTGTGTGT